GTGTGAAGCATTACAATAATACCAGAGGGGGTGGGGGGTGGGGGGGGTGATGGGGTGAATAGATGATAGAGCACATGTTTGAGATGGATTCTCAGATTCACACAGAATGAGTAATGGATAGAATTAGAGCAGTAAAACTGAGAGAGAGAAAAGACAGACAGGGAAAAGTAAAAAAACTGTGAAGGGAAATTTCAGACACACACACACACACACACACACACACACACTTGGACAAAAACTGTGGAGATTTCATCCAGGCAGGCGGTGAGAGCCCAGAGTGCTGAGGGTGTGTGTTGCAGGTCTCGGGAGAGGCAGGCAGGGGACTGAGCGCTAGTGATTTTCTGTCATATCTCTCTTTCTCTTCATCCCTCACGCCTGTTATCCACCTCCTCCTCCTCCTCCTCCCCTTCACCTCACCCTCGCCACTGCGGAACAGCCCCGCTTAAAAAGTACTACGCCTTGCGTAGCGTTTGTAGGGCATCAATTTCAATTCATCCAAAGATCGATTTCACTGTGGGATTCATCGTGATACCTGGGTATAATTAGTTTCTCAAAATTAAGACCATGTTTCTAATGCCACCTGCTCTTTCCACGTCCCTTCTCCTATTGCAGCTATTACATCTGAAAGCTCTGGGTCTGTGCTGAGCTGGAAGAACAGTGCATTTTGTACACTCCCAAAATCTATACTTTCGAATAAATCATTCATCAATGCACAATACATCTGAAATAAGCCACAAATAACTTTTTTTTTTTTTTTGCATTGGCAACATGTGAAAACTACTTTTGAACAGTGTCTATCTGCCTTTAGCATGTATGATGAATAGATGGATTGGTCTGGGTGTTCTTGTTCGTGTCTTATTACTGATCTTTAAAGTGCTAATAATGATTTATTTACATCATCTCACTTGACTTTGAGTTATATGTGCCTTGCACAGCTGTTGAAAGGCCTAGTGGAGTTCATCAACTCATAACACATATGCTAGTAGACACAACTATGCATACAAAATAACATTATAAATGAACCAAAGACGTAGAGGGAGATGACAAATATTTAGATATGTGAATTTCCGTATCTGTTGCTTTTAAATGTATTAGCCTTCATCTTGAGCCTAATACTGAGTCTGAGTACTTTAAAGGGTCATTTTGACTATCTAGAATGCACTTTAAATGATTAAATTATTAACTATTATAAATGGTTAAAAGCTTAATCATTATTGATGATTAAGCTTTTAACCTTAAACCCTTTAAGATGAGAAAAAGTACTTCTTAGTAGAAAGTGGTGTCTATAATGTACTGTAATGTGTTTCTTAAAGCTCCTGAAAACTTGGCTTCAGTGTTCAGTTTTTCACTAAGATATGAAATGTATACAAGTTAATAAGCAAAAATCAAAGTAAAGAAAAACATGTTTAGGTATTATTTATTACAACTCACAAGTATTTTCTCTGTCCAGGACAGAAGACAATTGCTTTTGCTGCTGTTGCCGTCTCTGAGAAGTGGAAAATGAGCAGCACATAACTTTGTACAGATTATGCATATCAATGTGGATGCATAAATTGTTTATGTGCACAATAGAAGTGGCAGAATATTAAAAAAGAAGCATGTAAGTACTCAGAGTCATGTGTGCAGTTGTTATCCACAGCTTCTCCTGCAGGGTCCAGGGGCCTGGTGGATGGTGGATGCTGCCCGATCTGCCAACATCATCCCGCTCCAGCCACAACATCTGTCAGGAAATCTTTTTTGCAAACTCAGTCTGCATCTACATCTGCTGCGTGTAAGTAGATGTACATACACACACAGAATTGCACTGTGTGAGCAGATTTAGAAAGAGTTGTAACACCCTAATTGGCCCGCCACACACACACACACACACACACACAACACACACACACACACACACACACACACACACACACACACACACACACACACAGAATAAACACAGAATAAACACAGAACACACTATACATGAAGATTAATCTGTTTATTATATACTCATGGTGATATCAATATCATCATTAATATCCATCATTAGGCACCTTATATGTAGATAGATTGGGAGTAGAGACTTTCTCTGCATGCCTGTTGGTTACAAAAACTAAATCGAAACATGCTGTCAACATGGGAGGAAAAGAAAAGTCTCGTTTGTCTTTCTGTTTAGATTGTGTTTGAGTTGTTGCTTAATATGTCTGCCATGTTTGTGTTTATGCACAACTTATGTGAAGTGTGTGAATGGCTGTGACTGTGTTTACTGCTAATTTGTTGAGAATTCTGTGTGTGTGTGTGTGTGTGTGTGTGTGTGTGTGTGCTTGTGTACGTGTATTTTATTTTATACGCAAAGTCTGGGTTTGTGTGCCTTTCACTTGCGTGTCAGCATGTGAAAAAGTTCTTGTGCAATAACGCTGTGTGAGGTTTGGTCTGGCATTCTTTTGTGTAACAGTGCACTCTGTATCAGTGTCTATGAGTACGTGCCAAACCTCTTACAGGTACTGGGAGACTATGGGCTGAACCAGTTCAGGCAAGTCCTCGGACACCTTGGCACAGTTGCCAGATGTCAAGCTGGTTATACCTGGATATCTGTGCCAGAAACACTGTGGGAAGTTTCCCCTCATGCCTCTGGAGGAAAATGTATTCCCTTGCTTCCCTCCCTGCAAGTACGGAACATACACTCTGGAGAGTAACAACAAAAGAATCAATATTTCTTTACACTCAGGGTTATTACAGTGCTGCAGCCTAGGATATGGATAACTAAAACACACTGCTACTGTACATTTGTTATGTGGTGGAGAGAGCCTGCAAGCAACTGTATGTCTTCACCCAAAGTTTAGACTGTCTGTACTAAATTTGTCCAAATTAATTTCAAAGCCCCTTTGAGAACAAAGGAATATATTTTGACGCAAACACTTTCAATAATCCTTTATAGCCACATTGAAGTCCAGAATTGCAATTGAGTTAGAATACAGAGTACTTTCTTTACAGGGCTACCATCACAAAATATGATGAAATTCAATGCAAGTGGTTCATATACTGTGAGACACAAGAAGGCAGCCTTATGCTCTTTTCCCATCAGATTTAGGGAATGCATGGATGTTGGTTTTTGTCAGGCTCTTATGTGTAAATTTTAATACTTCTGACCATATCCAAGCGAAATGTAGAATTTCACTTAAATGTCATTCAGTCAATGTCCCTCTCATATGGGTCCGCTAAATATGAAGCTACAGCAGCAGTCGGTTAGCTTAGCCTAGCATAAAAAGAAAGAGCGGCAAAGGGAGATAAACAGTTAGTAATTGGCTCTGAGGGGTTACTAAAACACATTTAAAGCTCACTAATTGTGCTGGTAGGTACATTTTGTTACCTTTGGACAAAATCTGTCTTAATGCTAGGCTAAGCTAACTGTCTGCTGACTGAATCTTTGTGTTTATTGGACAGACATGACAGTGGTTTCAATCCAATCATCTCTTGGCAAGAAAGCAAATAAACATATTATCTTTTAATCAGATATGGTCAGAAGCATTTGAACGTAAGAGCTTTGAAAAACAAAAGGTTTTATTGCCTAGAACCAGGTCAGCTGTTTCCCTCAGTCTTTATGATAAGCTAAGCTAATAGGCAGCTGGCTGTAGATTCATATTTAGCAGGTAGATATGAAAGTGGCATCAATCTTCTTATCTAACTCTTTACAAGGAAGTTAATAAGTGTATTTTCCATAATGCTGAACTATTTGTTTAAAACCACCAAGCAGCTAGACTGACTAAGTTGTTTGAACGACATCATACTCAATTCATTTAATTGATGAAAATGGTTAGCCTGTATTATAAAGTGTAAAACTGGGTCTCACACTTTTGCCAATGCAAACCAGTTTAGTTGTTGACATTTTCCAATCTGAAATTGAGGAGTGGAGAAATTCCAAACTTAACGGAAGCTTCAGCCCTCCCCTTCCTCCCGTGGCCTTGACAGACATGGACACGGCATCTCCACCCAACCGTGAAATAGCCACTTGTGTTTTAGCCTGAACAACTCCATTCCTATGTGACCGTCTCTCTCTCTCTCACACACACGCGCACACACACACACACACACACACACACACACACACACACACACACACACACACACACACACACACACAGGGCTTGAGGCTTTTGTAATCTGGGAGGACTGACTGTACGTCCCAAAGAACTGATCAATACTATTCAATCTGCTTGCAGGTCCTTTGCTGCATTAGGCGACGGCCGCTATCCAAACAATGAATGGCTGGACACAGAGGGACCCGTGTACAAATGGAATCCCATTACAACGCAATGGCTCTCAGGGGCTGACGTTGACCCCCTTTTTTATTCCCTCTCCGCCAACCACAGCGGCTATTTTATGCTCCTCTGATTGACAGCTCCCTTCCAGGAAAGGAAAGATGTTGTTACCGTGACAACAGCTCATGCTACACCGGTGTGGATACAAGCTTTTGATAAATATCACTCCAGTACACTGAAATCAGCAGGTGATATTAAGAGGTCATTATACTGGCTACAGGATTTTATAATGTATTTACACTCATAGACATAGTGGAGACGATGACAGTGATCTAAGTAACAGCTGTTTTGTTTCATGACAGACACATGTGCTTTTAAGTGCAGTTAATATACCTATAATATCAACAGTGAGTGGCCATTATTCACATTGACAGCAGAGATTTGAGTTTCCTCATCAGACATAAATAGGATACAGTGGTATCTTCCTAACAGACTGACATACAACACTTCCATGATGAGCTTTTGCACACAGCACGTCTCCTTTCTGCACAAGTTTCAATATATCGCATCTAAAAATAGTTTCAAGCAGTGAAATGGAAAGCAGACAAAGCAATAAAGAGTTGGAGATACGGAGGTGAGGAAATGAAAAAGGCTCCTCTTTTGTTATCTGTGATGTCTTTTCTTTTTTTGCTCTCCTCATTAGCAGTAAAGAATTTCAAGTTATAGCATCTCTTGGTTCACTGAGCCCTTTTCCTTTGCTTGCTCCTTTTTTTTTTTTCATTCAACCCCTCCCTTCTGGGGTTGCCAAATCAGTTTACCTACTAGCACAGTGCTTTTAGGGACACACAGGGAATTTCCTTCTCGCAGCTCATCCCCCCTTTTTTTTTTTCTTTTTTTTTTGTCCAGGTTCTGCTCGATCGCCTTCAGATTGCTTTTCAGAACAACGTTGTATTTTTTTCGGGGAGCCAACTTAACCGTCCCTAATGTGATGCCAGGTTCAAGTGTTTATTCCCCTGCTAACTGTTTTCACAGTGAAGTTCTCTCAGGCTTACTGTCTACATTAGTAGAGCGATCCACAATATGGAGAGGGGAAGAGATACGGAGACTTCACCAGGCTTTGCCGAACACCGTTTACAGGATCTATGCACAGAATGAGAGAGAGAGAGAGAGAAAAAGCACAAAAACACACACGCATGGTTGTGTAAAATGTGTCACCCTCTTGCGGTTGTTGCAGTATAGTCTGTGAGGAGATAAGGAGAAAGAGTGAGGGAAGGAGAGGTGTATAGGAGCAGTCTTGTGGACAGACTTTTTTTTCTGTCATTACCAAAAGTCCTTAGTAGGGCAGTCGCAGGCTTAGCATCGCACCACAAAGGTACGCATGGGAGAAAATACACATTAAAGTGCTACGATGAAGGAGCTAACATGCCACAAAGAGACTGTGAATAATACTGTAGGTGTCACTCTTTACTGGAAGAGTGGGGGGTAATGATTTGGGATCAGTTCCGTAAAAGCAAAGTAGCACAAAAACATGGTCCAACCACAAGGAAATGGTTTCACCGTGTTTAAATGCTTTCAGGAAACCCAGCCAAGCAAACACTGGATTCTGGGTACATGGTGGCTGAGGGTGGGGGGGCTTGGCTGTTGGGTGTTGTTCTTGAGGAACAGGGAGTAAAGGGATGTATGAAAGGAGTGGAGGAGTTATAGCGTTTGAAGTCTGGTGGAGGTTTGGCAGCAAAGGTCAGAAATGACTGGAGATGGGACATCTGTAATGGAAACTATTGGTCAGACTCCAGGAAGCTGTGAGGAATTGTTTGGACTGCGAGGAAACAACGAGTCAGAACTCGTGGGAGCTGCTGAGGAGTGGCTAGGAAGAAAAGAAGGCATGGGTATTTTTCCAAATCAGTCTTTGGAGAAGTCGAGGACAGAAACCAAAAGGTGAAGCGGAGAGCTGTGATTGGTTCCAGGGAGAAGTCTGAGGATCACATACTGGGTGGATGTTGGCTAGGTGTTGGCCGTCTGCGTCCTTTCGTGACTGGGTATCCTGCTCCGTCAGGCTATGGTGAAGATGGAGTGCACTCCAGAGAGGCTGCAAAAAAAAGAAAGACAGAAGACAGACAAGACTGAAAAAAAGTTCATGTGAAAATCACAGAAAAGATGGTCGGGGGTGTGAGACGGAGAGAAGAGTGCTCTCGTTGGAAAGAGGAAGAGGTTGAGAAAAATCACAAATGGCAAGAAAGAGAAAAATAAGACGAAAACAGAAGAACAAAAAGAGAAACGATGACGACCATCACAGGAAAAGCGGGGAAGGGGGGGTGTAAAACGAAACCGAGAGGAAATTAAGAAGTTGAGATCAAACAGCAAAAAAAAGAGAAAGGGCCGAGATAACAAGCATGGGCACAGTGAGGCATAAAAATGGATCAGGGGGATGGAATTAGAAAAATAGACGAGAGAGGAGGGAGATAAGAGAGACAGGATAAAAGAGAGAAAGAGGGAGAGAGAGAGGGGGAGGACGAATAAAAAGAGAGGAGACATAATTATAAAATGGCACAAGAAAATCAATGCAGTGGGCATCATTGTGCTTGCAGGCGCCGTACAAAAGGAGGTGGAAAGCAGCAGTGTGTCCATCAAACGCATACACACCACCAGCACATGTCAGCGTCACACACACACACACACACACACACACACACAATATCATCATACACATACACACACACACACACACACACACACACACACACACACACACACACACACACACACATACACAGAAGCATTTCAAATGCAGAGTGAAGACAAGGAGGATGAGTCAGGCAGATGAAGCGGAGAGAGACAAGTGACATTTAGAGCTCAGTCAGAGCATGTGATGACAAGGCACAAAGATACATGCCAGCCCTGACTCTGACAACAGCTTGTGTGTCTGTGTGTGTGTGTGTGTGTGTGTGTGTGTGTGTGTGTGTGTGTGTATGTGTGTATGTGTGTATGTGTGTATGTGCATGCAAGGGAACACATTTGTGATTTTATATATTTTTCTCTTCACCTGTGGGAGCTGAAACTCAGGCCAGAGAGCCAACACAGAGCTGAGAATTCATGTTAGCATTTTAAGACTTGAGGGTATAGTAAAAGAAGTATAGTAGTAAAAGTCTCCAGATACAGTTTTCTAGTGGTGGAAGTTGTATTCCTTTGACTTCAGTGCTATAATTCTTTATATAAAACCATATGAGATGTTTAAAGAGAAAATTGGTGTAATCAATCTTAATCTTGACTTAATTTCTAATTACTAACAACTTAGATACATCTGAAATGTGTTTTGTATGGGGTCACAAGCAAAAAAGAGCGGGAACCACTGGTTTCATCTGTATTTTACAAGCTAATCACATTATTCATTCAAACACATCTTCCAAAAAAACAAACAACAAAAAAAAAACACACAATATTTCATATGTCAATGCCCCTCTACAATAAAATGAGAATGCAAAGCTTAAAGTTTGGTAAGGTTCAGCAAAACATCAGTTGAATTACTACTTCACTGAGGTTAGCTGAGCTTTGTTGACATGTTTGCAACAATAAACACATAGCTACATAACAGGAGCAATTGTGCTTATATTTAAAAAAAATGTTGGTGGTCAATTGGAAACAGTAAATGAACAGTGGTCTCGTCCATTAAAGGCCAAATTACTATTTTGCTGAAGTTAGCGGTTTGCTATAGCTGTTAAATAAATGTAGTGGAATAAAGTGAGGTAAGTACGGTTTTTACCTTTGAAATTAAAAGGGGGACAGTCATGTATTTTGACCATTGTTCGACCATTTGTATTGTAATAAACTATTGTGAAGGCCGGCTGATAAAATGACGACTCCCTACCTTTGAAGCAGTTGTGAGGTTTGTTTGAAGTATGTTTATTTTTTTGTCAGTTTACTGCCAGGTTATGAACTCTTAACCAATGAGTTAGCCCACCAACCTTTTCTACGCCTAGAGACAACAACAAAAAAAGAAAAATCTGATTAGATACCTCTATTTTGATGGTTCACTTCTGAAGCTGCAATAGCTAGCAGCCTTACCCATCTGTTGGCAAAAACAAGCGAATTGCTAGATGTCTGTTTTTAATCACAAACATTAAAAACGAGGACATTTCTGGGGACAGGTCCAACCGGGGACAAGCCACCAAAAACGGGGAATGTCCCCTGAAAATGAAAATGAAAATGAAGTGAAAATCTGGTCACCCTAGAGTAAAGTAAAAGGTTTCCGTGAAGTGTCAAGCAGCAATAAATGAGAAAACCCAAAAAACTGTACAGTAGCTTACTAAAATGTAAGTTACATTCCACCCTGGCAGGGGTTCTATTACACATATGCACATGAACAGCCATTCAAATTCAACCATGTAATATTCATTATCATTACTGACAAACACAGCGTGTAAACACCGTGTCAGCCCACACACACACACACACACACACACACACACACGCACACACACACACACACACACACACACACACACACACACACACACCCTCCTTATTAACTGTATTAGTGCCAGGGCTTATCTGTGCTGTGGGACCACACACCACAAAAGGCTGAAATTCATTACAGTCGTAGGAGGGCCTTGACAAGCTGTCAGCATGTTCGAAAGATTCTTCAAACCCCCCCACCACCTCACCCCACCACCATCAACCTCTCCTCTCTCTCCCAGTCTACATCTTTATTTCAAGGATAGTTTGCATTGTCACATGCAGATGCAAACAGCCACCTTATTTACAAATCATACAAACACAGAGAAACCTGCTCTGAATCTTAATTTTATGTGTTGTTTACACTGATACACTATCACACACACACACACAAACACACACACACACACACACACACACAAACACACTGTTCTGAGTTAGTGCTGAATGGAGAGCAGGTCCAGAGGTGCAGTTCAATGACATACTCCACATTTCCAATTTATGTTGGCGTCACTATGCTTCTCTTGGCTGCTAGTATACACAACACACACCCCCCCCCCCCCCCCCCTTCTTGCACACACACAAACAAACACATAAACAAACATAAAACACATGCTCTGCATTTTAATATATGGGATTTTTTGCTGTTCCGGCTGTGGTTACATCGATAGGAAAACATTTTCAGATGATCAAAGAGATTACTGTTGTCATAAAACCATGCAAAACAATAAAACCCTGGATGCTTTCACAACCTTTATGTGAACATATTTTCCAACCTGGTTAGAGTTAGAGTAAGAAAGAAAGGGAGAGTATGATGCTTCAGCCCTGCTGTTTCAGTCTTCAAGGACGGAAAAGGGCAAATTACTCTGGAAAATCTTTTCTTTAACATAATTACTATAATCTGCCAAACCTAAATTAAACAGACCAGCACGTGAATGCCTCCCTGACATGAGTGTGGAGAGTGTGTGCTCCAGCATCTGACAGAGAATTACAATTTCGACATGTTTCTGTGGTGTGTAATTGCATGTGTGTGTGTGTGTGTGTGTGTTTGAGAAAGAGAGGCAGAGAACACTTGGTTAGTCTGCAGTTATTAAACCAACCAATTACAAAGCCCACTCATCACGTTTATGTCCCAAACAAAGGGAGAGTTGATCTATTATTAATGTACTGCTCCGCAGTGTAATTCACACACGGATTCGATCTCACACCCATACGTTCACACATGGCTGCTTGCACGCACATCACACTAACACACAGAGAAATTCAGCCCCTGTAGCCTGCAGTAGCGTACTCTCTTGCGCTGCAAGTACAAATGATGAATGTGATATGCTAGTATTAACAGATGAGCAGCTTTTAAGAGACAGGTAGTCAAATGTCTGGATCATCAAAATCTCTTTCTCTCTCTCCCCTGGATTCATCTCATCTCTCTTTGCCTCTCTTTCTCTACAGCTCTCACCCATTCATTTGTAATGAGACCTGTCTCGATTGTTTAATCAGAGCACACCTCACCGTGCAGCCTCTCTCTGCCGTGCACCATGTCTCACATCGAAAACGTGAATGAGGACATATTTGCACTGATTCTTTCCATCCGGCTTTGAAGTATTTGTTCTGTAGGCTAGATCCAGGCTTTACCTGGTGGTGCTTCCCTGTTGTTGGGGAAACCTTGAGATGTGGATTTAAAGGATGAGGCTGGAGGATCTTCTATATTTTTCTTTTTTTGTCAACAAAACCCAAGAAAGAAATGAAAAAAATCTACTGCTGTTTTATGGAACACTGGTTAAAAAACACTGGTAGAAACACTGAGCATGGAGCTGAGTGGTACAATTGCTTATGAGACAAAAAAAATGAATAGTAAATTTTGTCATCTAATTAGTATGAGACTGGAAAATAATGAGTCTTGTCTGTGTGGTACTGAGTCCGTCATGCAATTCTACATTATAAGAAGAAAACCCTGTTAAGGACAGCGTCTCTAACTCTTAGTTGGTTGTGCCAAAGCAAGATTTGATGAGCCTAACCATCATTAATTACAAGTAAGAAATGTATTAAATAGATGATTAACGGTTCTGTAAACGATTGTCACTGCCACAGCAGATTCTCCATCTCAGAAAAGCCATACCAATATTGGCTCCACAGTCGGATGGGGAAAGAAATTCGTCCTTGGACTTATCAGCTAGGTCCGGCCATATGAATCACACTGACAGTGCCGTGTGGGCGGCCCAGTGGTTTAACAACTCATGCACACATACGTGCACTAACATGCACGTGTAGCCATCTCGGATACCAAAACATAGAACAGAGAAACTCAGACTACAGCACATTTAGTGGGGGTGTGACTCAAGACACCATTAGTCCACTATATCTTTACATAGAAAATAGTTGTTGGCTGCTATATTAATGTTTAAACTCTCGTTTACAGAACCGTTAAACAAAAAAGCAGCTCCACCAACACTTCTTTAGAGCAGTGGTTTGCAAACTTTTGGGCTTGTGACCCTTTCAAATGAAGCATGTGACCTCTTATCAATTGTTACGTCCTCAGTGTGGACATGAGCTGTCAGCAGTTCAAAGAAAGATTGATTTTTTACTTCTCAGATTGTTTCATCTGAGGGATTTTCAGAGGCCTGGAGAGGTAAAAGATTT